CATAGATGGAACCAAGAGACCAGACTCTGCACTGCCCTGTCTCTCTGGAAGGTTGGGGGTGGAGGAAGGAGGCGGGAGAAGGAGGTAGAGAGGGCCCCTTGGGACTTTCTGTTGGCTCTGAGTAAGGGAGGTGTCTCAGAGCCAGTGACTGTTGTGGACTGATGGGGCGTGTCTGGCATGAGGCCTCACCTGGCCTGGTCCTGGTGGGGGAGTCGAGGGAGATGGGGTAGCCTGGAGGAGGAAGCCTTCTGTCCAGGCACTGGGGAGCCCGACAACTCCCAGCTGCTGTGACATGGAGGAAGGGGCCTGTGGGTGAACAAGCAGCTGACTCGGGGAGGCTGCTTACCATAGGGCCAGGTTCCCTACATCCCTGGGCAGGGGTGTGGCATGGGTGTCTCTGAGGACTGAGGCTATGGGTCAGTTCCAAATGAATGTCATAAGGATGGAGGAGCATCGTACCTGATCACGTGCCTGGGACTTTGTGCCATCCCAGGAGGGTGCATTCGTGTGAGTCTAGAGAGGCCGGCTCCAGGCGTGAGGGGCCTGTGGAGTCTGTGAGGATGATGTGGGCTGTGAAGTAGTCACTCACTAAGGCCAAGCTTGAGAGCAGGTGGGGCTGCAAGCACAGGTAGGTGCTGAGCACTGGGGTGGGTGTCAGGCTGGGCAAATAGAGCTGGGCCACACCCTGGGTCCTGGCTGAGCATAGTATGGCCTGGAGCACTTGGGCAGAGGGACCCTGGATGAGGGTAGTGCTCATGCTTTGGTTGTAGACCAGCCTGAGGACAATAACCCCTGGGGGGCATGATGATGGTGGCCTGATACCCAGGTCCCCAGTGGCAGAAAGGAGGAAGTTCTACTGGCTGTCTGCCTTGAGTTGACCATGGCAGGAAACAAGTGAGGGATACTTGTGCTCATGGTATATGCTGGACCAGGGGATGGTGCCATAGGGCGTGAGTGTGAAAAGGATCAGATTCAAATTGTGATGTTTGTGTTCAAGGGGAACAGGCAACACAACAACTAAGAGGACCATGTGACCTAGGGAACTTGTGTGTGTACGAGGTAGACCGATTGGCCCATGGAGGTGAGTGAGCCTTGACACACATGGTCCTGAGCCCACTGCAGCCTTTGTGGAGCAGCTGTATAGGAAGTGGGGACAGGAGTGAGCCATTTGTTTATGTCCCCTAAGGGGTGTACACAGTTGGGGTGTGCTTGATGCACAAGTATGTGCTGGCATACATTGTTGATAAGCTCTACTGGGCATGTGCATTGGGGTCTGCCTTTAACTGGGCCCATTGGGCTCTTTGTCTGCTGAGGAATATATGTGAAAGAGTGTGTATACAGGTGAGTGTGTGTGTGTGTGTGTGAGTGTGTTGAGCTGTTTTTGTGCACAAGTGTATGTGTATGTACTGGGGTATGTGTGTGCATGTGTGTATGTATAAGTGTGTCTGCTGGAGGGGATATATATATCCACTGGGATGTGTGTGTATATATATATATATATTATAATATATATATATATATATATATATTCAATGTCTGCTAGGGTGTATGTAGTTGGTGTGTGTGTGTGTGTGAGGCATGGAGGTGTGCTGGGGTGTGTAGTTTGTACATGCACATGTCAGCTGTGTCTCTCTCAGTTGCTGTGTGTACGTGCTGGGGCATGGGTGCCTGCAGGCTGTAGTCTGTAGTCTGCCTCTGGAGAGCCTCAGGGACAGACAGAGAGGAAAATGGGGTTCAGGGTACCAGGCGTCAGTTTTTTAAGGGCGCAACAGACAGCTGGGCTAACGCAGACGCCGTTCAGGAGTGGGTGAGACGCTGTCTGTGGTCCGCCCCTCGGTTTGTAACATTTGGGCTTTAGCCACTGCTGGTTGAAGGTTGTCACCTTCCATCCCTTCTGCCTTCCCCTGGGAGTGAGCTACCAGCATCCCCAGTATTCCTGCAGGCTTCATCATCCTGAGACCCCCCCCCAGGGATGACAGGACTATCAGCTACCCTCTTCACCTTGTCCAGGCAGCTATTCTGGAGGAAGGGCGTCTGGTGGAGGCATGTTTGGGAAATCATTGAGGTTGCTTCTCCCCAGCAGCCTCTGATGAGTGTGAGGCTAAATTGAGATGTGAGAATTTTCTGTCCCTAAGCATTCTCACCTCCCCTTCTCCCCAGGCCTGCCTGCTTCGGCCTTCCCCCCACCCCCCACCCCGCTCCATCCCTGCTGTCCTCTGAGCCTTCACCATCTCCCTCTGCCACACTCTCCAGCCCTGTTGGGGAGCTGCAGCTCCTGGGCCTTAGCTATGGAGAATATGGTTGTCATGGCAACCGTTGTCATGTCAATGGCTACTGAGCCAGGATGAATAGTATCTAGGTGAGTGCTACCTGAGTGGAGGCTGATGGGTTCAGGAGAGGCTATATGCTCCTTTCTGAGCTCAGAGCTGCATGGAATCCCTCACTTCTCTCTGTGCCCCCAAAGGCATGCTGCCTTCAATGGCTGCCTCTAGGTGAGTGTGTGTGTTGGTGCATGTCTGTGTCTCTGGCTGTGTAACTTGTAGGGTCTCTGTGGCTTTGGAGCTGTTTCTGGGTTTATGCAAGCCCTTCTAAGAAAGTATTGGTGGCTGGTATGTTATGTTGGCCACCAAGGAATCTTGAGTCCCCCATTATGGCTCTTGTGTTCACTCTTGTTTGGGGGTCCCTAGAATGACAGGTCTCTTAGAATGTTCCTTCCCATCCCGCCTTGAAGGAAAGAAAGACAGAGATCCCTGCTTAGTCCCCATCCTGCTGTGACATCAGGCTTCTGGCTGGACAACTAGTGGGACAGACATCCAAGCCCCCAAGGGACTCTATCTTATAGAAGCTGTGGCTCCTGCAGCCCCAGGACCTGGGGAGTGTGTGTTGGGCAGAGATGAGAGCTGGCAGATGATGATGGGTTTGCTCTGAGCTCCTGGGATGTCTACAAAGGAGGAAGACCCAGTGATTAGTCACGGGGGCAATTATACTAATTGTTCCACCCCGTGACTCACTGGTAGAAAGTAAATACTGATTAATTCATTACTTCCAGACGTGTGTGTGTGTGTGTGTGTGTGTGTGTGTGTGTGTGTGTGTGTGTGTGTGTGTGTTATATGAGGGGTATCTCCTGGCTCCCTGCCCTGGCTGGGTTGGCTAGGGCTCTGGAGCAGGTGCTGGTGGCTGGGGGCAGGAAGCCAGGACTAAGATCCTCTCTTTGGCTCTGCATGAACTCTAGAAGGGCCCATGAGCGGCAGGGGTGTGAGATGCCGAGTGCAAAGTGCCCTGCCAATTTAATTCCTCCCCTGCTCACACAGCTTCCATGGCTCTCCACTGCCAGCTGGGGCAGATGCCCAGGCACTACCTGATCCCTGGGATCAGCTTTCATTCTCCTGTGTAATTGCTCCAGAAAATGATTGACTTCTAAAAGAAACCCACCCCCTGGCTAGACACCTGGCCCTCTGTGACCAGCCTGGTGACTTCTCAGCCCCACCTCCAGCCATCCCAACTCCCATGCTGCCCCAGGAATTAAATATGTCTCCTAACTCCAACTCCGTCCTGAGCCTATCTACTTGGTACCAGGAATCTTGCTAGACACGCAGCCCCTCCTCACGGAGCTGGTGATAGGGAGAGCCCTTCCACATCAGTGCTTCAAAGCAAAACTGTTCCTGAGCATCAGGCAGCATCATGACTTGGGAGCGTGGGATGATTCTCAAAAGCAGTGACACTGGGGGGGGGGGGGTTGGAAGGGGGTTGAAGGCAGAGAGACCAGCAAGATTGAGAAGTAACGGGGGGGGGGCAGGGTATGGGGAGGTGACGCTGCAGGGCTGCAGGGGCCAGCCCAGGAGGGGCGACTGCATTGACCAACCCCAGGGCGTGTTCAGTTTCCCTTGCCTGGGTGCCTTTTTCTCTGGATTCCAGTTGTAAGATGTAAATGCTCCAGGCAGAGCTCTGGGAGTGGGGACCATGGCCAGGGTACACAGCACATCAAGGCCATTTAGGGAATCTACATACCTGTCTTTAAGGTTCTTACTGCTGGCTCCAACTATGGGCTTTTTTTGTTTTGTTTTTCTGTAGCTTTGGAGCCTGTCCTGGAACTTGACCTGTAGACCAGGCTGGCCTCAGACTCACAGATCCACCTGTCTCTGGCTCTGCCTCTGTTGGGTTTAAAGGCAGTGTGCTGCAGCCACCACCACTCGGGGCCCCAAATATGGGCTTATAAGGAGAGGGTACAGTTAGAGCTGGGAGTGCCAGCTCCAGTCTTCCTAGATTCTGACTCTGAAGGGGCCTTAGGCCTGGGGACCTTGGGAGAAGCCTGCTGGCCCCCTGGAAGTAGAAGTATGAAGGAGCCTGTGCTGACCGGGGCCTGCATATACTGTGGACAGGCCAGGCAGGAGCTCACTTTCTGCTAGGGGAAGAGCTGGGGCTGGCTCAGTATGGGAAGCCTTCTCTCCCTTGCCCTACCTATTCTAGAACTTCTCTCCTGGGCCTCAAGCCTCTTCAGCACCCACGCCTGTCTACCTTCCTGCCTTTGGCAATTTGGGGTACCATTTGGAACCCAAACCTCATTTCACTCCCGGCCCTCTGGGCAGTAGAGCCTCAATTTTCTTGTCTGTGAGTTGGGCTGGTGCCTGCCGCCTTCCCAGTCCATCTTGAGGACCCAGTGGGATCTTGTCTGTGGGCACTGTTCACACAGAGGTGACAGTGGACCTGCGCTGAGTCTGCCGTGTGCCAAGATATTCTAAGATATTGTGATTACTAAATGCACAAACCTGAAGCACAAATGGGACGAATAACCTGTCCCATCTGCAAGCAACCTGTCTTGGTTTCAAACTCAGCATTGTGTACTCCGAGCCCATCCTGTGTCAGGGTTCCCATTGCTGGGGGATGGATGAAGCAGCCAGTGGTGCCTAGTGCCAGCTGGCTGGTAAGGGAGAGCACTGCTACTGTGGCCTTGGGTAGGTGGGAAGTGGCCATCCGCTCACACCCAGCTCTCTGTAGCACATATGGGTCACTCTGCCTGTGAGTGTGCCTATACCAGCCGACACTTTGGATGCCTAGTCCTGTACCTGTCTGTACCCTCCCAGGCTCAACGCTGGCGCAGCGAGAACTTTGAGAGGCCGGTGGACCTTGAGGGCTCAGGGGACGACGACTCGTTTCCTGATGATGAACTGGATGACCTCTACTCAGGGTCGGGCTCCGGCTGTAAGTAATCCCCAGGTCTCCCTGACTGTCTTTGGCATCTAGCACCAGCCCAGAGGTCTTTAAGGCTACTTGAGTGAGTCTTGTCACTGTTTGGTGGTCAAGACCTCAAGAAGGAAGAGGGCAGAGCATCCTTCTGGGAGGGAGGAGGCTAGGGAAGACTTCAGAGCTCAGGACTCTTGTCCCTGTGTCTGTGTGTACACCCTGCTGTGCCTCCTGCCCTCTGGCTTGTTGGAGACACCCACTCAGTGACTCAGTGTTCCCAACTCTGCACTCATTATATACAGTCGGCCATGGGACATGCTCAGCACGAATGACTTTCTGACCCAGTCTGGAGCAGGTGGCCCCTTGGGTTCATCAGGGCCAAGCTCAGGGTGAGGGTAGGGCTACAGAAGGGCTTCAGGGACCTGGGATTGGGTTTGTGACTCTGTTGTGGGGAAGGCCAGTCAGCTGTGGGTCGGTCAGGGTGAGGGGTAGATCCAGCAGCTCTGCCCCAGCCTTGGTGGCCAGGCAGCTGTTGACTTCTGACCCCTTACATCCTTGTCTTCATCTTCCTATGTGCCGAGGAGGTGGGGACAGGAAGTCAGTGAGGACAGCAAGGTGCTGAGATGGGCCCAGTCAGGGGATGGGTGTGTGGTGAGATTGTACGGGGCTCGTACTCCTGAACTGGCAGCTCCAGCTCTGCCTCTTGCTGCTTCCTCACTAGCCTGGTGCCCTCCTCTAAAGTGTCCCTTCCCTGCTCTCACTCTCTCCACCTGCTCAGCCCTCAATGACCCTGCCAAACCCCCTCTCCTCACATCTCCTCACTCTCTCATCTCTCCCCCTCCAAGTCCCTTATCTTATCCTTCCTGAATCATTTATGTGACCTGGGAAATATCCCGTAAGAAGGCCTCATCTCCTCTGGTTCTCTGCTGTATGTCTGGGAGGTGGGGTGACTCCGGGTCCCTACTCCCTTGAGTGTGTGGGGGGCATGTCCTTGGCTCTGGCCCTTCCCAAGAGGCCAGGCCTTGTTTTCTTGTAACCATGAGTGGATTTCCAGACAGAGGCTTAAGTCACCAGGTGCTAGGACTCAGAGTGGGCTGGCAGAGTCAGGGCAGGCTGCCTGAAAGTGGAGGCCCTCTCAAGGATTTTGGCTAGCTTATCTGGTCAAACCACCTCCTTTCTCTCCTGTCTTCCTGGGGAAATAGGTTAGGGAGGGATGTACTGCTGGGAAGGCAATGCTGCCTGGGGAGCTGGCGGTGAGGAGTGCCCACTCCCCAGGGCTCTCCCTCTCCCCACCCCCCAGACTTTGAGCAGGAGTCTGGCCTGGAGACAGCCATGCGGTTCGTCCCCGACATGGCCCTGGCTGCACCCACTGCGCCTGCCGTGCTACCCACGACAGATATTCAGCCCGTGGATACCCCATTTGAGGGGCTCCTTTCTGAGCACCCCAGCCCGGAACCAGTTACCAGTCCCCCGCTGGTAACAGAGGTGACAGAAGTCCAGGAAGAGCCCAGCCAGAGAGCCACCACTATTTCCATCACCACTTCTACCACCGCTGCTACCACTACAGGGGCCCCTACTATGGCCACAGCACCTGCCACAGCAGCAACCACTGCCGCTGGCACTCCCGCAGTACCCCCTGCCACGGCCACCACTGCTGATGTAAGGACCACCAGCATACAGGGGCTGCTGCCTCTTCCCCTGACCACGGCTGCCACAGCCCAGGCCACTACCCCAGCAGTGCCCTCACCACCAACTACTGTGGCTGTCTTGGACACGGAGGCCCCAACACCTAGGCTGGTCAGCACAGCTACCTCGAGGCCACGGGCCCTTCCTCGGCCAGTCACCACCCAGGAGCCTGATATTGCTGAGAGGAGTACCCTGCCACTGGGGACCACCGCTCCTGGACCCACGGAGGTGGCTCAGGTGAGGACAGTGAGAGAGGGTGTTAGTGCAGAGTGGAGAGAGGTGGGCTGGGCAGGGACCAGGAAGTGCCAGGGGTGAGCCAGGCAAGGTGGGTTTGGTGTATGTGTTGGGTGTGAGCCTCTGGATGGGGTTGGGGGAGGTCAGAGAGCCAGGGCAGGTGGGGTGTGGCTACTACTGAGCCAAGACACCAATAGGAGAGGAGTAGGTGGATTTGTTGGGGTGGAGGTAGGGAATGGTGGGTGGGCCTGGCTGGGAGTTCAGATCAAGAGCAGTATTAAAAGACTGTCAGGCTTGCCAGGGCATGCTGGCACATACCTTTTTCCTAGTACTCTGGAGGCAGAGGTGGGCAGAGCTCTGTGAGTTGGAGACTAGTCTGGTGTACAGAGCAGCTCCAGCCAGAACTACACAGTGAGACACTGTATCAAACAAAACAAAACAAAAACAAAAGAATAAAAAAGAGGTTATCATCCTGGATTTAAACCCTCTGCCATCTTTTTTCTTTTTATTCTTGAGACATTAGCTGGTGACTGGTTCTTTCTATGCCTTCTTTATCTGTGAGGGAAAGACCCGCTAAGGTAGTGGGCATGGTGACACCACCCATAATCCTAGCTCTGGGGAGGCTGAAGCAGGATTGCTACAAATTGCAACTCTAGCACTGGGTAGCCTGGACTACCCAGTAAGACTGTTTCAAAGACAGAGACAGAAAGACAGAGAGGGAGGCCTGTCATTGTTTGCAAATGGCATTTCTGACACTTGACTGTTCTTAGAATCCTGGAACAGTAAACGACCCAGCTGCTCAGCTGTTGTCACTGTCATTTTCGCCATGGTTGTTGTCATCCTCATGGGCCTGAGGGTAACTGAGTGGATGTTGTGGGGGAGCACCTGGCTGCCAGGTGCATGGCACTTTCCCTGACTACTTCTGCCACCCCCACACCCTTCCATCATGGTGCTGTGATCACCTCTTTTCACAGGTGAGGCAGAGGAAGGCATTTTTTCTAGGTTCCTCAGGTGGTAATTGAATCAGGGTTCAAATTCTGGCTGGGAGCTCCAGAAGCTGGGGCTCCTGAAGCTGGGGCTTCTGAACCTGGGGGATCCAGAAGCTGGGGGCTCTTGAAGATGGGGACTCCTGAAGCTGGGGGCTCCTGAACCTGGGGTCTCTTGAACCTGGGGACTCCTGAAGCTGGGGGCTCCAGAAGCTTCGGGCTCCTGAAGTTGGTCAGGCCCCAGGGCCAGGGTTAGGCTGGGAAGGGCAGAGGGACTGAAGGGAGAAGCAGGATCAAGGTCACTGTGGGAGGGAGACACTAGGGGACTGCAACCTGGCCCAGGCAGGTGCACCATGAATGTGTGTAGGAAGCCCGGTGTGGTAGCACATGTCTGTGATTCCAGAACCTGGGAGATGGAGGCAGGAGGATTAGAAGTTTAAAGTTATCCTTCCTTATGTAGCCAGTTCTAGGTAAGCCTGGGCTACATGAAACCTTGGCTGGAAAACCAGTATGTGTGCACCAGGCTGGAAAGGGGACGTGGTGACTCTGGAGAGCCACATAGCACCCTGCCATCAACCTCATAGTCACCCTAGGGCTATGGAGTTACCCTTGGAGCCTGGCAGTCCCTATCAGGCACCAGCTAGCACCATAGGACACAGGCCCAGGCCCTTCCTTCAGAGAGGGGGCCTCACCGGAAGGGGAAACAATAGCAGGCTGTGGAGCCCAGAACCAAAAGCAGGTGTAGCCCTGTGTGGGACCTGTGCTTGCCAGATTCAGGCCCACCCTGGTCATACTCTCATGAAGTAGCTGTGTGGCCCTCCCCCGCCCCCC